TAGATGAACAGAAAAATAAAATGTGCTGTATATCCATAATGAAATATTATTTAACCATAAAATCTGGAAATACTGTCATCATGATAATGTAGTTAAATGCATAGGGCATTATGTTAAGTGAAATAAGCCAAACACAGAAATACAAATATGGCAATATCTCAATTATATATGGAATCTAAAGCAACCAAACTCAAAAGAAGCAGAGAATAGAATGGTGGTTACAGAGGCTAGAGGAGGGAGATGTGGAGGTATGATGGTCAGAGTGTTCAGAATTTCAGACAGGAGGGATATAGAGTTTTTATTTAACTCTATTACATAGCATGATGAAAATAGTAAGTAATTTTGAAATGTACAATATTAAGAGTAAATTTGCAATGTTTCATCAAAAATGATAAGTATTTGAGGTAATGAATATTTGAGGTAATGTATATTCCGTATTGTATTCATAAGCCATATTGTAAACCATAAATATGTACAATGCTAAATTGTCAATTTATAATACTTTTTTTTTGTATTAAGGATTTAACCCTGGAACACCTACCATTGAACCACATTCTCAGCCTTTTTTAAAAAAAAATTTTATTTTGAGGCAGGGTCTTGCTAAGTTGCTTAGGGCCTTGCTAAGTAGATGAGGATGGCTTTCAACTTATTATCCTCCTACCTCAGCCTCCTGAGCTGTTGGGATTACAGGTGTGCACCACTATGCCATTACAATAAAATTTGAAAATGGAAAAGGTGATGGGATGGGCAAGAAGTGGGGCTATCTCAATTCCCTGAGCTCTGAGGAGAAGAGGGCTTTTGCTGCAAGCTGAGGGAGACAAGGAGCTCATTTCAGAATCAAGTCTTTGAGACGAAAGGTTGGAGGGTCACTAGGCTGGCCTGAATGACAGAGTAGCAAGGTGGAAAGAGGAACATCTCCCTTCCTCTGGTTTAGGTGAGTTTGAAATTAAGCTCAGTGAGAAGATCTGGGAACCCACTAGTCTGGTTTGCACTACAAAAATCAGGAATACTGGTTGTTAGCTGCAGGAAAGTGGAACATAATGTCAACCCGCATCTGGGGATGTGGCAGCTTATCTTTGATGCAGTTTGGCACTGTGAGATTTGCTGAATTTGTATTAATGTGACTTTTAAGTAAAAAAAATAATTTTACTTCTTTCAGAGAAGATTGAAGTTTAATGTCTAGAATATGGGATTTAAAACCATGTGGGCTACCAGCTATGGTAGCACATGATGAAAATCCCAGCAATGTGGGAGGCTGAGGCAAGATGGTGGTAGGTTTGAGGCCAGCCTCAACAACTTGGTTTGAACCTGTCTTGGAATAAATAAAATAAAAATAAGTAAATAAGCAAATGGTGGGGAGTGTAGCTCAGTGGCAAAGTTCTCCCAGGTGCTGCTGGGTCAGATTAGACACAGTCACAGTCCAACTGTGGGGGTTGTGGCTTAACCAAAGAATATTTCAATATGACACCATGGGCAGTGAACTAACAGTGGCCATTCCTGAAATTTAACATGGAGCAATGACAGCAGGGTGTGTGTGTGTAGCTCCCTCTGAGTCACAGCCTTTCCATGACAGAATTCCATAGGAACTGCTCCATTTCCAGCAGGCAGTGACCAATTGAAGTGTGTGTTACTCTGGAAAGGTTTTTCTTCTCATAGGATGTCACATGTTCCCACCTGACTTAGGGCGAGGAAGAACCCAGGTGGGAAAAAGACCTTAGAATATTCTCCTTCAGCTAATTTCAGTTCAATAAGCACCAAAATAGACAGAGAAGGAATTTATTTCCCTGAAACATAACTTATAAAACTAGGTTTTTCTATATATTTACCAAAAATTTTACAATAATTAAGTTTACCAAAAATATTTACAATATTTTGAGTTTCTGATTTGGCATCACAAACTATTTATTATAAAACTGAACATGTAGATGGACATCATGGTTAATAGGTTGGATTCCACAAGGGGCTTCTCCACACTTCTGGCATTTTGGGCCATTTAGCCTTTCCAAGACTTACTGAATTCTAGTACCCATTCATTTAGGACAATAAGATCTGCCTTTTTCTGATTATTATAAAAGGAAAAATTCATGTAAAATTTTTAGCAAGGAGCTCGGTATTAAGTAATGTTTTTACTCAAACCTCAGATTGATTGCCAGCTTGGAATTTCTTTCATGGAGAAGATGAAAATTTTGGCTAATGGTTGCTCTGGTGAAGGATTTCTTAGATAGAGAACAGTTTCCAGCTTGTGAATAAATGCATTGTCATGGGGTATCACTTCCAGACAGGTCTTTTGACAATGAAGTTTGTCATATCATATACTCCCCACCTGTCACACTGGAAAATTTTTATTTTGGGGTCTATGCTCAGCTGAACAATCTCTCTTTCTTCCTCCTCTTTCTCCTCTTTTAATGGAAAAGGCAATTCTTTGCTTCCTGTTTTCTTTTCTGAAAACTCCAAGTTCTATCCCTCATGCTAACCTATTCATAGCAGATACTTTCTGTTGTGACTTCATGTTGTTTCCCCATTTTTAAATTATCACCTTGTCTTGATTTTTAATTGAATTTATATTAAAGTAAAATAGATATCAGTCTCTAAGATTCTTCAAATACTTTTTTAATAAGAGAATATATTGAAGAACAAGTTTTCTGTGTGGAACATTTTTGTCATTGTTAATGGTTGTGGGGATGCTGGAGCACCTGCCTACATTTTTTTCTGTTATTGTCAGATATAGATTTTAATTTTTACAACTTTTTTTTTTTTTGAGCTGTTTCCTTTCTACTCTGTAGTTGATTTATAAGAAAGGCTTGTTTGGTCAACCACTGAGTGAGCAACAGTGGAGGGGCTGAGTGTCAAGATTTTCTTGTTTTTCTTAAATTGTTGGGTAAATAATATCTTTATTTTCATGAAGGCTTTCATTGTTAATTCACTCTGTTGCCTTCCATAGTTAAGATGCTCTGGTGCCACATCTCAGAATCTTCCTGTCATGGTTGATCATTAATTTTAATCATTATTCTATGCAATCCTGAGAGTAGTACTGGGAAGGGATGCTAAGAAATAAAGAAACATGCACACAATACTGTGGATGAAGGGATGCCAATTTAGTGTGAAGCAGGCACTGAATATAAAACCCTTCTTCAGACAGTAATCTAGCCACAGCCTCCTCAACTCCCTGAACCAGAACATCAATGTGGATCTTATCTCTTAAGCTGGAATGGAATCTAAATAATGAGACCACATCACTTGTTGAGTTGGTGCAGGATATTGGGGTCAATATCATATCCAGAGAGACTTTTCTTTGTGTTAAATATCTTCTGATTCTAACTAAAGAAGGATTCAACCATCAAATCAAAGGTCATAAATGTCAAATTATGAAGTGCTTTGGGTAAGAATTGTCACAAAATTTTTCTTGATGAATTGTCATAGGAAAAAGATGCATAATTCAGATTTTTGTTTGACTATAGGCAACTTAGTGGACATCTGCTACTCCATTAAAATAGATTATAAGCTGAAATACTTTATGAGAAGTTATTAAGAACTTGACAATGTTAATTAAAGTTGACTTCTATCCAAGATGTTACTAAGTTACAAAATCTCCACTGTGCAAATCTACATGCAGAGTGTTGACTTGCCTAAAATGAATTATAGAACACCCATTTTTAAATGGCTGATAAATGCATCTTCACATACATCATTTTAAATTATTGTTATTCTTGATTTCTCATATTTAATATTCAAATGTGTGCAATTTAACTTCAATATAATCAATTTTGTTGAAAATTGCTTAGTTAATCCCAGAATGCATGGTAATGGACAATTGTTTCAATGTGAGTATATATAATAACTGTATTCTGAAAAGATTTGAAGCCATATAATATATACTTTAGATTTTAAATGTAATTGTCCCACCTATCCTTACCTTATTTGGTAAGTTTTAATTATTTATTCTGCTTGAGAAAATATGCCATTAAAGGCAAATTTCAGTATCAGAACAACTTGAATAATATAGTTTTAAATTTTATATGAGGTTTATTAAAGCATACAATGTAGGATGAATATTTAAGAGTCAGGAAAGCAGAATGATGTAATAAGCCTCATGATTTTAAGATTAGAAATGACATTAAAATCTGACCTCTCTGATGGAGCCAGAAATAACCGAGTCCTGGAGACATCATATGATTGACAGGGTTAGTGATGAGGGATCATGGATACTGCCTGTTGGATGCAAATGCTGCTCAGCATGGCCAGAGGTGGTAGAATACACCTGCTTGCACACCACTCCTCTTTGTTCTCAGTCCTTCTAAATAACTGTTGTTAGTGCTCATAATTACTGGTTGATTATAATGTGTAGATTTGTCTTCTCTCTGGAAGCAAGTAGCATTGTAGGCAGTTAAAGACAAACTGTCAGAGGCTGGCATCTGCTGTCAGAGTCCAAATCCTGAGGCTTGAACCACAGCGATGCAAGGGAAGGCCCCTTTTGAACCAGTTCTCTGGATCTTCTTTCCTGTCCCTTCCTCTTTCCCTCTGGATGATCATAGCACCTCCTGCAGGCCCCAGGTAGGCTAGGGTGAGGGCAGGTGCTAGGGAACCCAAAGGGAAAGGGCATGTGAGTCAGAGACCAAGCAGGAAAAGAAAGAGGGGAAATGTGATTTATAAGTGAGTTCAACAATAAATCATAATTGAAAGCATATATATATATATATATATATATATATATATATATATATATGTATATGTATTAGATTTTGTTCAGAGAAAGACAAAGGGATCAACACATTCAGAGCTCTGTCTACTTGGGGAGTAGTTTGGTTAGCAATACAAACATTTTTGTAATTTTGTTAATGTGTAAAGACTTTTCACCTACCCTTCATTGAATGTTCCCTGTGGTTTGTGATTACCAAGTTCATTTAGCAGACAAAGTGTAGACAGATTGCCTCCCATCATATAGCAACAACTGAAGAGGGGAAGGCCAGTGTGCATTGCAGGCAGTGCCAGACAAAACCACATGAGGTCCAAACACCAAGTTAATCTTTATTACCAGGAAAAACACAAATACGTATGTTTTCTCCTTTACTACTTTTGAGCATTTCTTAACTGCCTAGGATTCATCAAAGCTTAGAGTTTGCACCAGATTTTGTGGTCGCTTGTTTTAATATCTTACATGCACAGAAGTACCCTTGCTTTTGACATGACTTTTCTCAGACTATTTCAATTTTTAGAATGCCAATATAAGCACAATTGTTTCAGGCCTTATTTATTTTTTTCAACTTATGAAATTTGCTATGGTTTTCCCCAGGATGCAAAAAAATTCTACCCCCCCACAAACCTCATAATGATGTACTTTGTGGGGGCAAAAAACCAGCACAGGAAAGAAGTATGGTTTTGGGAGAAAGTACTTAAGGAAGGGATACATCAGTTGAAGTCCTTTATCTTAACAAAGCCATGAAGCAAAGGGGATGGCTGATGTTTTTCATGAATATGAGGCCTGACATGGTGCAGTGAGGCTGTCTTTATTCTCTCTCTGTGGTTGTATCAGACAGTGGCTGGGGCCAGATATTCTCAAAGTCTTCTTTGCTCCCAAGTCTCATCCTGGACTAAGAAGGATCAGAGTGACTGGAAGCTTGATGTCTTTTTCTCTCTCTGGTATCCCTATGTGACCTCTCCACATGGTGAACTCAGAGAAGGGGATTTTTGCAGGGCTGAAAATGGAGAAAGCCCAACGAAGCTGGCAGAACCTCAGCCTTCTCAAACCAACATCAGACATCAGTCAGCATTGCTTCCACACCAGGGCAGTCACACAGGCCACCCAGGGCCCAAGGATGGGACAGAGACCATTTCTCAATGAGAGGGATGTTAAATATGGTGATGAACTTTGAAACCATCAGAGTCAGACCTTTGGCTACAAAACATGTACATTCTTCCTGCTTGAAAATTATATTCACCTTCCCAAGCCTCCAGAGTCTCATTGTCATCTGAGTGAGTTCTGGATGCAGATGAAGTTTCTTGGTAAGGTTCTTCCTCATTTGAAGACCTGGGGACAAAAGGGACTGGTTCCTTGCCCCTCCCTTGCCCACTTACAACCATGGGGCAGAAATAGGGCAACCACCACAGAGTCTCTTATAAGAAAGGGTTGAAGTGGGGAAACCATGGCTGTCCCTGGTCTGCATCACCTCAAAACCCATCAAACGCTTGTGCAGCCCACACAATAGGTCCAGACCCACTGCCTGGAAATGCTTCTTTATGGTTTCTGGTTTAATCATCCAGAGCTCTGAATAATCCTTCTTTGTCCCATGGGGAATGATGGGTTTTTGACTGAGTAGTTTTCTCAGTCTGAATGCCCTGTGTAACTACCAGAAATTACTGGCTTAAAACATCACCAGTTTATTGTGTCCATGGTTCCCAAGTCCAGGTCCAGCATAAGTGGGTTTTCTTCTTTGGGTCTCCTTGGACTGCAGCCAAGATGTTGGTCAAAGTAAGGATTTCAACCCAGGTCAGGATTATTTTCCAAGTCCATTGGCTGCTGGTGTAATTTATTGCTGTGTTCTCTTGCTATCTCTCCATGGCTGGAAGCTGCCTGCAGGTCTTTCTCTGTGGAAAAAGGATAATTCATAGTCTCTGTCTTCTGCCACCACCTAGAGAGCAATTTTAAGAAGCCCACCTGATTGCATAGGCCCACCTGGCCAATCTCCCCACATTAAGGGCAGTTGATTGAGTACCATAATCACATCTGTGAAATACCTTCAAAGGGGCAGCAACATTATTGTTGAATCATAGAGCTGGAGGTAGGTGCAAGTTCTCTAGGGGCTGAGGTTCTGAGAGCATCTTAGAATTTTGCCCCTCACATCACACCTAGCAGTTTGAGATCCAAAACCTTTGTTCCCTTGTGTATTATTTTTACTCACTTTGACTCAAACAGTGGTGTTTTTATGTAGCAATTACATTAAAGATTCATGGATCTCTCACATGTTCTAAGTGTATTCCACATAGCAAGTGCCCAATCACAAATGTCTCTGAGATAAGATCCTCCCTACTCTGGGTTCCTGAATGATCATGGTAGGAGGGCCAGGCCCTTTAAACTTCTATTCTATTTTTTAAAATATTTTTTTAGTTGTTGATGGACCTTTATTTTATTCATTTATTTGTATGTGGTGCTGAGAATTGAACCCAGTGCCTCACACATGTGAGGCAAATGCTCTACCACTGAGCCACAACCCCAGCCCTAGAGGACCTATTTTTAACAGGTAGAATCTGAAAGGCCCAATCTTTAGATTATCAGTTCTCTTTCTCTGAAAGAATCAGTGAGGCACCTACTTATGTCTTTCCAAGGTCTTAATGAAAGTTCTTACAAACCTACATTGACCTTCAATTTGAGGTTCTTTCTTCATTTTAGCTTTGGTTGCCATTTGCATGTATTAAGAATTGTTCATAAGTTTGAGCACTTGTTTTCCTGTATGTATCATATAATTTTCTTTTCTTTTCTTTCTTTTCTCTCTCTCTCTCTCTCTCTCTCTCTCTTTCTTTTTTTTGCCTAATGTTCTGGGTAGGATTTCAAGGACATTTGTTGAATAGAAGTGGTAAGAGAGGGCATCCCTGTCTTATTCCAGTTTTTAGAGGGAATGCTTTCAGTTTTCTCCCATTTAGGATGATACTGGCCTTGGGTTTAACATATATAGCTTTTATAATGTTGAAGTATTTTCCTATAATAAGCATTTTTTCCTACAATAAGTATATTTCCTACAATGAATATTTTCTTGTGTCTTGGATGCTATGTTTTGTCAAATGCTGATTCTGCATTTATTAAGATACTTATAGAACCCAAAATTTTTACCAGAAAAGTTGTAGAACTCATAAATTAATTCAGAAAATTATCAGGATATAAAAATAACACCAAGTTGCATCCCTATACACCAATGATGAATCAACTGAAAAAGAAATTAGGAAAACTATCCCATTCACAATAGCCTCAAAAAAGAAAAAAAAGACACTTGGAAATCGATCAAACAAAAGGGATAAAAGACCTCACCAATGAAAAGTACAAAACACTAATAAAGAAGTTGAAGAAGATCATAGAAGATAGAAAGATCTCCTGTTCTTGGGTAAGCAGAATTAATATTGTCAAATTGGCCAAACTACTCAAAGCACTATACAGATTCAGTTCAATCCCAATCAAAATCCTAATGACATTCCTCATAGAAATAGAAAAAGCAGTCATGAAATTCATCTGGAAAAGTAAGAGACCCAGAATAGCCAAAACAATCCTTAGCAACAAGAGTGAAGCTGGTAGCATTACTATTCCAGACCTTAAACTAAACTACAACTACAGAGAAATAGTAACAAAAACAGCATGGTATTGGCACCAAATTAGACCTGTTAGACCATTGATACAGAACAGAGGACACAGAGGCTAACCCAAATAATTACAGTTATCTTATATTAGACAAAGGCACCAAAACATACATTGGAGAAAAGATAGCCTCTTCAACAAATAGTGCTGGGAAAACTTGAAATCCATATGGAACAAAATGAAATTAAACTCCTCTCACCATGCACAGAACTCAACTCAAAGTGAATCAAGTACCTAGAAATTAAACCAGAGACCTCATGTCTAATGGAATAAAAAGTAGGCCCAGATCTCCATCATATAGGATTAGGCCCCAACTTCCTTAATAAGAATTCTATAGCACAAGAATTTTAAAAAAGAATCAATAAATGAGATGAATTCAATCCAAAAAGATTCTTCTCAGCAAATAAGTGAGATGAATAGAGAGCCTACAGAATGGGAGCAATTCTTAACCACAAGCACATCAGATAGAGCACTAATCGCTAAGATGTATAAAGCACTCAAAAACCTTATCACCAAAAAATCAAATAATCCAATCAATAAATGGGCCAAGGAACTGAACAAACACTTCTCAGAAGAGGATATATAATCCATCAACAATATATAAAAAAATGTCCAGGGGCTGGGTTGTGGCTCAGCGGTAGAGTGCTTTCCTCACATGTGTGGCACCCTGGGTTCGATCCTCAGCACCACATAAAAACAAATAAGTGAAATAAAGGTATTGTGTACAACTACAACTAAAAAATAAATATTAAAAAATTCCAACATCTCTATCAATTAGAGAAATGCAAATCAAAACAGAGTAAAGATTTTATCTCACTGCAGTCAGAATGGTAGTTATCGAGAATACAAACAAGTGTTGGCAAAGATGTGGGGGAAAAGGCATACTCTTACATTGCTGGTGGGATTGCAAATTGGTGCAGCCAATTTGGAAAGCAGTATGGAGATTCCTTGGAAAACTTGGAATGGAACAACCATTTGACCCAGCTATCCCACTTCTCAGTCTATATCCAAAAGACTTGAAATAAGCATACTATAGAAACACAGCCACATTAATGTTTATAGCAACTCAATTCACAATAACTAAACTGTAGAACCAAAACAGATGCACTTTGATAGATGAATGGATGAAGACACAGTGGTGTATATACACAATGGAATATTACTCAGCATTAAAAGAGAATAAAATCATGCCAATTGCAGGTAAATGGATGGAATTGGAGAATATCATGCTAAGCAAAGTAAGCCAAACCTGAAAAATTCAAAGGCCAAATGTGCTCTCTGATAAGTGGATGCTGATCCATAATGGGGGTTGGGGGGTGAGAATGGAGGTACTTTGATTGGGCAAAGGGGGAGGAAGAGAAGGGAAGAAGAGATGCAGGTAGGAAAGATGGTGGAATGGGATAGACATCATTACCCTAGGTACATGTATGACTGACTGCACATGTAGTGCGACTCTACATAATGTGCACCAGGAAAAATAAAGTAGTGCTCCACTTGTGTACAATGAATCAAAAAGCTTTCTCCTATCATGTATAACTGAATAGAATTAATAAAAAATAATCTAAAAAACACCTCTGACCTCTCTTCTTTATAAATTACCCAGTCTATGATCTTTCATTGTAGCAATAAAAAACAGAGAAAGACAGGGCTCCTGAGGGAAGCAGAGATCAGGAGCTCAGGGTTGAGAACCAGAGCCAGACACACTATCTCCCATGGAGAGCTTGCTTCCTTCCAGACCTACAGAGAGAACAAACAGAGGCAATTCCTCTTGATGGCTGCTGGAAAGGAGGTCACTCGGAGGAATTACTGCTGGTACACTATCCTCTGGCTAACAGGTTCTTTATCTCCCATCTTGTTCCTTTCATTCATTTCTTAGTAATAATCATATCTTACTTTGCAAATCCCAAACCTAGCACAGAATGTTATTCCAATAGAAGCTGCCATTAAGATGCAGTATGAAGAAATGATGGCCTGTCTTACTAGAGCAGTTGAGTAGGATCCAGGCTGTCCTGCCCAGGCTTCAGGTACTCCCCAGGGGAACCCAGGTAAGTCCCTAGCCCCAGCAAGGAAGGATATGTTTGGAAAAAAATTACTTGCTGCCCCTAGGTTTCAACTCTGGATGGACCAGAGCAGTGCCATGTCACTCCATGCCAGAGCACACACTACATGCTGCCTGTAACCACAGGATGCACACGACAGAGCAGAGAGCATCCACACTCCACAGGCTTCCTATGTTAGCAGGTAAAGCAGACAGCCTGATATTTCAGAAAAATATACGAGGAAAGCAACATTTCCTGTATACATCTTCTTTAAAATTTTAGCTTAAAAGCTACACTTCAAAAGTAAGTAAATAAATAAGATTAGTACTTATTTATAAGAAAAAAAAATAGAAGCCCAATTCTCATAAATAAGTCTGGGTCATATAAATCCTAATCTTATAAATAATTTATATTATAGCAAGAACATCTCATTATACAAATCACAAAATATATTAGGTTTAAGGCATGCATGTGGAAAAGAAGTCTCTGATCTTCAGTTTTGTTCTCCTCATCCCAGTAGTAATGAGCCCTTTCCCTGGTAATTGGTGATAGCTTGATTGGGAACCTGCATTCACATTCTTGTCTTCAGTGTGGTTTAGATTAATAGTATCCAATACATTTCATAATTTATGTATAATCTATATACAATGTCTAATACTATCTTTATAAAATCATTCTTTCTAAAAAAAAATCATCTTGTTTGGTGTTGGGGATAAAACCTAGGTCTGCATACCTGGTAGGCAAATGCTCTACTCCGAGATGAACTCCCAACCCATTAAAACAGCATCAGTTTTGTGGTTGGGGCTGGGGCTCAGTGGTAGGGTACTCATCTGGCACACAAGAAGCATTAGCTAAGAAGTCAGTAAGATGTTAAAAAGGAGTAGTAGGAGAGGATACCCTTGATTGTTCCTGATCTTAGTGGGAAAGTTTCAAGTTTATTATCATTAAGAATAAGGTAGGGGTGATATGGTCACCAGCACCCAGGTGGCAGGAGCAGCCCACAAGCTGGGGCAAGTCACCTCGCTGGGGGAGAAGTCAACCAAGCCCCAGGGCAGAAAGTGGAGGGAAGGAGCCAAGGCCCCATGGGGGTAACTAGCAGCAAGTCCCTGGTGCAAGCCTAGGCCACGCCTCTGCATTTTGAGGCAGAAGACAATGGTTGGAACCAGCCCCTCCCTACACTGAATTCTGAGTGCTTGGGTCCTCCT